TTGGTAACTGGCGCGGTAAGATAGGATGTGCTCTGAACTTACGCTGGCGCGGGGTCCTGCAACTCTCAAACCCTACACCCCTAAACGCACAAACCGCTAAACCGCGAAAACCCTAAACCCTAAAGCCCCAAAGCCCTAAAACTCCTCAAACCCGTCACCCAAAGCCCCCCAGCCTCCACCCAGTCTCTTCGCCTCACGGGTTCCTTCCCCTCTGAGGCCTGGTTGGTCTTCCGGGTGTGGAGTTTAGGAGCTTTCGGGGCGTAGGGCTTTAGGGTTTAGGGTTTAGGGTTTAGGGTTTGGGGTTTGGGGTTTTGGGGTTCAGGGGGGTTCAGGGGTTTAGGGATCGGGGTTCAGGGTTTAGGGGTTTAGGGTTTGAGGTTTAGGGTTTGGGTAGGGGTCTAGGGGCCTCAGGAATAGAATCCCAACACCACATCCGGACGGCCCGTTCATCTTTAACCCCCAGCGTCAAGTTGAGGGCGCTAGTTAAGCTCAGCAGCTGCAGGCTATTCTAGATCATATATATATATATAAGATAGATAGATAGATAGATAGATAGATAGATAGATAGATTAGATAGATAGATAGATAGATAGATAGATAGATAAATATATAGATAGATAGATAGATACATAGATAGATAGATAGATAGATAGATAGATAGATAGATCGATAGATAGATAGATAAATAAATATATAGATAGATAGATAGATAGATAGATAGATAGATCAATAAAGATGTGTGTGTGTGTATATATATATATATGCACATACACACACACACACACGCACACACTATTTAGGTAGATGGATCCTTCTGGGACAGGACCTCGAACCCACACGCACCGGCCTTTGCGGACCCTCGAAGCTTGGCAGCGCCATCGATGAATTCATACAGCCTGAAGAGGACATTAATGGGAAACCTTGGAATTCAGGGTTCGGGGGGGAAGGGCGAAGGAGGTAGGGACTATACTTCCTTGAACAGGCCTTATTCGACCCCTCTCAGGGGTATCAAGGTTCTTAAGGCACCCTGCCCCTCTCGTATGGATGTTCGGGAGAATTTTTGTGCCATACACCCAAGTCTCGGGTTTTGAAATGAAATCGAATTCCTGTTGGTTCCAGGACCACAAGCGGTCGCATCGACATGTGGGTGGGTCACCCCGAGCACTATCAATATCGATTCAATCTACCAGCCTCATAAATTCAGATCAGGTTTTGGGCTACGTGTATAGTACACTCAGCAAACAAAGACTATAAAGGGAATACTAAATACTCAACCCCTGTATTGCGGTCAGGAGTTTAGCACTTTTGATTGAAGGTGTAAGTGTGTAGGGTTCGGGGGTCTGGGGTTTATGCGATAATAGTGTTGTGTCCTCCATGCAGATGAAGCTCTGCAGTCAGCGCAACAAAAGGCGAGATCGATTTAAGAACCGGAAATCGGCAGCGTTGAATACCTTTCTCCAAAATCCATGGAAGCAAACTTTTGTACAAGACCACGTAACATGTTTAACATCGAGGCATTAGAGAACTACGTGAAGATGATATCCTCCAGCACGGCCGACATCTGCGAGCACCACAGCCGCCCTTGAGCTGGCCTGCCCCTAACCCAAAAATCAAAATCCCGAGACCCCGAATCCGTGAATGAGAGGTTTAGGGTTTAGGGCTTTAGGGTTCAGCGACCCTTGCCTTACCTAACTCCTAGACTCGACCGGCGAAGATGCCTCGTGGGCTTGGTGGGGGAAATCCTTTCGTTTGTATGGTTTTGGCTTTAGTGCTTAGGGCGCTGCAGAACCCCGCCTGGCCCCATCCTGTCCAGAATATGTAAAGAGGGATGTGGAATCCACGCGCTTTAACCCTGAACCTTACTGCGATGAGGGTGCTTGTACAGGGAATCCCAGAAACTCGAAACTTGCAAATGCCAGTAATTATGATGTGTCTAGGCCTTCGGGTTGAGTACTTTAGGATTCGGGCGTTAAGGTCTCGGTACGAATGTGCCATTGTCAAGCCCAGTGACGTGATCTGGCCGTCTCCATTATCGAGGAACTCGAACAAACTCAATAAATCATGGTATTCCAACCTGAGGCTGTGTTGCCGCTTGCGGCTTAGGGTTTAGGGTTAGTTTAGGGTTTAAGACAGTCTGGGGAAAGTTTAAATAGGCCGACATATCCTGGCACTATAAGGCCCTGTGTATTGGACCTCTATGTATGATATGCGGGTGTTGCTTGTTTGGAAGAAACAACTAAGGGATAAAAGAATAGAGTATACTTTCAGATTTAAAGACGAATACTTCAGCCCCGGTCTTGATTTTTCTGAAATGTCACAAGTTTCAAAAAAAGCTTTGATTGAAAAGCACAGATTTTTTGAAACATTGGCGATTACGTACTTTTTGCAAAGAATGAAAGTTTCTAGATTCTAGAAATTGAAAACGAATTGAATAATCTTAAAGAATCCTGTCTGGCCACGGATCGGGTCCGCTCCGATCACTTGCTCTCGGTTCGTCGCCGTCAGGCTCTGTATGTGCGAGCAACTGCCGTGGCACCAAATAGCCTTGCATCGAACAGTCAGGCCAGCAGCAACCAGGAGGAGGCCTGCAAAGCAGAAAGCATATTTCACCGAAGTGCACAGTGCTGGACGTGCCGAACCCAAGCGAGATATCGGAGGTCGCCGAGCCAGACGACCAAGGCCGCCGAGTGCAAGCGGCAAGCGGCGTAGGCACGTTGCTTGCACGCGGCCGAGAGGAGTCCCATATACAAGACGGTCCGTCTTGAAGACGTCCGCGGTGTACGCGTTCCAACACCAGGACCAGCGCCTGAGCATCAGGGTGCAGCACGGCATCTGGCAGAGGCACGACAACATCTTGCACCTCTGCACGGGTTCACGTCGTGGCCTCCAGGTAGACTTCGAAAGGGTCCTGCAGTCATGCAGGTCGCACTTTGCCGGACACGAGCTGCTGTGCCTCGCTGAAGCGGCAGCGGTGGCACTCAAGTCGTTCACGTCGTAGTCGCGCACGTAGACCACCTCCGTCGGCTTCGCATCTTCCGCCGTCGCATGGCCGCCTTCCGGCCTCTTGCACCTGGTGCATGACGATGTACGGCATGATCGGTCGCCTGCCGGACTGTAAAGTCTTCCCTTCAGGCTGGAACGAAGTGATGGAAAGTCTTCGCTTGAGGCCGGCACAGGCGATAGCTGCAGGCACGGGCCCGGCCAGGCCCCGGTCTTTATTTTTTCCAAAGTTCAAAAGTTTCAATAAACTTTGATTTTAAGATTTTGTCGGAGATATTTGTCTTTGTTTTTCGACAGTTTCAATTTAAAAAATCCTAACCACGGCCACTGCCAGGGCACGGTTTGCCTTGATCTAAAGCTTTCAACCTTTCTACTTTTGTGCAAAGTCTTTATATAAGAATGAAAGCTATCTGTTTGAAGTTTTGTGGTCGTGTCAAAATTTTCACTGTTTATCGAAAATGTATTTGCTTGAACACTGTCGACAAACTAGTCTTCGTTCTGTATGGTTTTTGGATTTAGTTGAAGTGGCGAGAGTCGTTTGGGCCACGGTCTTTATTTGTTCAGCAAGCGTTTCTTCTTTACATGTGAGACCCATTAAATATGGTCACTATTGACATGTCACAACTCGCTAACACTAGAGTATAGACTTCAAGCTTGCTTGTCACATCGAGGTCTCCGCCTCGGCGTGCGACATCTCCCGGCTTCGTTCATGGTTGAGGGTGTGTAGAAAATATAAGTAGTGTGCTAAGGCTTTGAAGGCAATGCCAATAGACCTTTGTTTCGTGCTCGGAAGTGAGCAGAACGGCAAGCTTTTCGCGTTTTGTCCAAGGTTTGACTAGCTGCAGCTACCTGTTGTGTCTCGTACCTGTTGTGCCCCCGTCGTAAATGGGATCCTGCTGTAAAGTTGAAAGTCTATAGAAGCATCGACTGTGCACCCATAAGAAATTAACATCATAGATACGTCTTTCATCTTGGAACCTTTGCAGCATTTACTGCTCCACGCTTCCTTTCCAGTTGCTTCACTAATGGGCAGGGCGAAGCGCGCCCAGACCGGGATTAAAGGGGATGCGACTGTAGTAAATACGTAGCAAATTGAAGCAGTGTTCGCATACGAGACAAAACGATTTCCACAATTCCAGAACCTCACTACCGAACTTCCTTGAGGGCTTAGGGTTTGCAGGGACAAGAATTTTGCGGTTTAGGGTTAGGGGCTTAGGTCCTAAACCCGAAACCGTAAAACTTTAGAGTGTAGGGCATCAAGTCAGCAAGCAATCACGGAATCTTTCTGCTTTGGTATACAAAGTGCAACAACCAAAAGCGACAGTCAGCAAACAACGCCAAACCCGAAACCTTAATACCTAACCCTAGGCCCTGAACCTTAAACCTTAAACCCTAAACCCTAAACCTCTAAACCCTGAACCCTAACCCCCTGAACCCTTAAACCTTAAACCTTAAAACCTAAACCTCTAAACCTCTAAACCCTGAACCCTAAACCCCTGAACCTTAAACCTTTAACCCTAAACCTCTAAACCCCGAACCCTAAACTCGAACCTCCAAACCTCTACCCCTTCAGGCAGCACCATGGCCCAAAAGATTGCGCTTTCGGGCCTTCTAAAATGAACCCTGAACCCGCGACCCGCTGTCCCCGCAAACCCGCGCCACCTTCAAATGGCCAAAACCCTTGAACCCCCCAAACCTGACAAGTCGGAGATCCCAAATCCGAGATCCTACTAACGAATGCCCCTCATCCAGGGGGGCCTTAATAATTAGACTAGAGGGTTTAGGTTTTAGGGTTTAGGGTTTAGGGGCTTTTGGCTTCAAGCAAGGAAGCACTAGGAAAAGTATCACCAACTATTGTGGCTTGTATTATGCACCCTCAGCCCTAATCCCGCACCCCTGAACCCTGAACTCTATATGAAACCTTTAGGGTTTAGGGTTTAGGGTTTATAAACCCCTAAACCCTACAAACCCTAAACCCTAAACCCCACTTGCCAGGCCGCTCAAGTTGGCTCATCCAGAACTTCAGCTTCGGCGATGCAACGAGCTTGGAGAACCTTACTGTAGGGGCCTTAAAAATTAGAATAGGGTTCCTTGAAAGGGTTCCTTAGAAAGGGATACTATAAGGGTTACTGTAAGGGTCTTATAATATAGCGGCCTTCATAATTAGCATAGGGTTTTGGGGCCCAAAATACTCTACTTATAAAAAAGAACCCTAAGGAATAATATAGGTAATTATTTAGGTTTCATGGCTTTGGTCAGAATCGAAGAGACGGGCCATGGGCGAGCTACAGGTTGAGAGCTGCGTCACATACTCCCAAAGGGGCTTTCAAGGCAGTTGGATCTGGGTTTTGGGGTTTAGGGTTTAGGGAATTGGATTTGGCTCCTAAAAGCCCTAAACCCTAAACTGAAAGGGGGTTTGGGATGAGGCTTATACAGCGCAGGCTCAGCCTAGAGGGTTGATCTAGACCCTAAGGGCTGTGATGTTAATGCTGCTGGGCCAAGGAAATGTAGGGGCCTCAATGATTAGAATAGGGTTTTGGGGGCTCCTTATCATCAATATAGTATAATATACCCCAAACCCTATTCTAATTGTGAAGGCCCTTGTATTGTATTACCATACCAACATGGCGGGGCTTCTTTGGGACTTGCAAGTGGGTGCTTTTAGGGTGTAAGTATGTCCTGAGTCTTTGGAGTCCTAGACATGTGGTATTGGGTGGGATCAAAAACTAGGTTGCAGGAAATGACCCCCCTTAACTCTGAACCATGCCACACGAAACCCCGAAAGGGTCTCTATAATGGCCTTCAATATTAGACTAGGGTTGTGGGTAGAAAAGTGTCCCCCGACGGAATGGTGCTGGTAAATGTGGAGGCTGTTACAGTGTCCACACCCCTCAATACCTGCCAGTGATTCGCTCGTCGAAATTGATGGCACCGTCTCCTGAGGAGTCCATGGATTGAAAGAGCTTCTTGACCTTGTTGGCGTACCTCGTCCATTTCGGGGTTTAGGGTTTGCATGGGCTTTGGGGGATTGAAAGTCTTGGGTTCAGGGTACCTTGGCAATGGCACGTTACCGTATCTTACCACGCCCAGACCCTACCTTTGTTTGCGGGGGCTACGAAGACAGTATGTCATGGTAGCTTGTCGCGAAATCTTACTGGGCCGTCGCCACCTGCGGCTTGGGGTTGCGTGTCCTGTTTAGGACTGCAAGATCAGGTGGAACCGCCAAGCCTAGAGCCTGGATTTCCCCTAAACCCTAAACCCTAATCCCGTGATAGGCAGGGAAGGTAGCCCACAAAATGACAACTCAGGTTCTGGGTAACTCTGAGCCTTGTCACCCAATACAGAACCCTAAAGACTTGGACTTTCAACTCTTTCAGGTTTAGGCGTAAGGGTTTAGAGCATTTCCGAAGTGAGAGAGAAAAGCTTAGGCTCAACGGCTGACTTCTTGCATCATACCGATAATTGGAAATCCCAAACATACTATACCCTTAATTTCGACCCTTTCATTTCTCTTTACCCTCAACCCTTACGCAGATCACAGACCCTTCTGGCCTAAAACTTAACCCTAAACCGTGAAACCCTTACGCAAACCACCGACCCTTCCAGCCGATTCTAGCTCAAACCTTAATCCCTGAAAACGAAGGCCTGAACCCTAAACCCGAGTACCCTAGGCCCTAAACCCTATAGAACCCTAAACTGTAGACCTTTTAGATCTAAACCCTACAATAAGCCGTAAACCACGAATCTTAGCCCTCCCTAAACCCTAAAGCCCTAAACCCTAAACCCTGAATCCCCGCAGTGCCCCAGTCGAACTCCACCGAGTGTCAATGCCCAGTCTTTTTGCTTCTGCCTGGCCGCGCGCCGAAATCCAAAGTGTGATCCTAAACCTTACTAAGACCCAGGCCAAAAAATCCAAGACCCTATAGAGTGAATCCCAGAAATTTGGAGTTAAGATGACTAGTGCTGGGATCCCCAATACGTTACCCTAAGCATGAGGATAACGATGTGCCAACTGTCTGTCTTCTGGCTAGTCTTCTACTTTAAATTGTACCCTAACTTTTGGGTTTAAGGCACGAGGTTGCGCGTATAGGGCTGGGGGAGGCGATAGCTGGTCGTGCCAAGCTAGGCTAGACCCTGAACCCGAATCCTAAACCCTAACCCCTAAACCCTGAACCCTAAACCCTAAACCCTAAACTCTAGACCCTGAACCCTAAACCCTATACCCTAAATTCTAGACTCTGATGCCCTCATGCCTTAAGCCTCAGACCCGACCCGCTTCTCGATAGAAACCTCATATGAGAAAAACTCAAAAACTTGGGGTTTAGGTTTTAGGGTTAGGGTTTAGGGTTTAGGTTTTAGGATGTAGGGTTTAGGGTTTAGGGTTTAGGGTACCTCTATGGGATCCCGTAATTTGGCCCTAGACGCAGAGCCCTGGGTTCCTCCTTGCTGTCCCCACAAAGATTAGGAATGAACCCTTCTAGGGCCCCAAGAAAACCAACAGAAGCAAGAATTATTAGGGTTTAGGGTTTAGGGTTTAGGGTTTAGGGTTTAGGGTTTAGGGTTTAGGGTTTAGGGTTTAGGGTTTAGGGTTAGGGTAGGGATATCCCACATAAACCCCCCCAAAAAAGCACATAAGCAAAAACTATAGGGTAGGGATATCCCACATAAACCCCCCTTATACATGAAGCCCTAGAAGGTAGGGATATCCCACATAAACCCCCTTATAATGAAGTCCGCTAGTAGGTAGGGATATCCATATAAGATGCTTATGCTTATTTCCTTTTGGGGGTCCCTGACCTCCTAGTGTCATCGCTATACGGAAACCACAAAAACAACCCGGCTTAGGGTTTATGGTTTAGGGTTTGGGGTTTAGGGTTTAGGGTACACAGGTACTACGGGGCACCCAAAACGCCTAAACACAAAACCCCCAAGCCCCCGACCCCTAGACCCTCGACCCCTCAAATAATGTAGAAGCCTTCATTATTAGAATGGGACTTAGGGTTTAGGGTTTAGGGTTTAGGGTTTAGGGTTTAGGGTTTGGGACCCTGGGCTCCTTAACAGTGCGTGCATTTATAACTGGGAAACCTCAAAGGATAGTATTGGTGTATATATATATATATATATGCACATAGTGAGGCTTCTACATTGAACCCTAAACCCTAAACCCTAAACCCTAAACCCAAACCCCAAAACCCCTAAACCCGAAAACCCGCATGCCACGAGAGCCTGAAGGCCAGCTCCTCATCAGAGTTAGCAGTCTTCATCGTCTGCTGGATGAAGACGGCGTTAACTACCTCGTTCTCAGGGCCTACCTTAACCAAAACCCTGCCTTTTTGTTCGGTCTCTACAAACTATTTGTAAGTGTGTACATATATGATCCCACAAAAAGTAGGCGTTGGTAGTTTCAGGTAAACTCTAAACCCAGAACCCCTAAACCCTAACGGGAGAGATCTGAACCCTTAGACGATGAAAGCCCTGAGCCCCAACCCGTATTCTATGTACGCTTTGTGGCCAAGGGCTTATAAAGAGTTCGGGTTTCGGGCCTATGTCATCGCTCGGGGGTGCTTTGGGCGGGGAGGGGACAAGCCTGCGAGTGTTTCGGATCGTGGCCTGGCCCAGTGGCTGGCAGTTTACAGCTTGGAGTTTTGTGTGAAAAGAAATAGAGCTTGCGACTGACTGCAAGAGTTCGCACGTGTCGAAGCGCAACTCATGTGATTGCGATCTATGCTCCAGTGTATTCAGAGCTTAAGCTTGCCAGCCAAGTGCCGCTATTACTATGACTGTACGTAACGTAAGCCCAAGAAGTCAACATATAGACACTGATCGGAAGGCCACCGCCCTTGCAGCATTGCGTTTGGTCTGGCAGGTCTCGAAGATAGTAGCTGCAGCAGTAGCCGTCGTCGTGCAATTGGCGCTATGGCACTACGAGACATGACCATACCAATAATCGCAGCAGCAATTAGCACGAGGCTCTCTAATCAGGTCCCTGAATTCTGTCATTCGATTGAAAACAGGGGAGGACAACATACGCAAACCTGACGGTAGCAATATTGCTAGCAGCCGTTCGTTAACTGAACCGGCATTTTTCGGAATGATTGGGAGTGTCGCAAGACCAACAACAACCATCGTAACAGGGACGAGAGTCGTACCAGAACCAACAGCCGAAAACGTAAGAAGAGACCGGATAGAACTCGAAAATACAAAAATACTAGTGCTGCTTTAACGGAGCTGCATGCAAGTGTACGGCTCACGATTTAGATGCGCTGAAGCCACTGCAGCAGTATTGCCAGCAGTAAACCACAAGCAGCAGCAGCAGCAACATCAACAACAAGAACAACAGCAGCAACAGTTGAACAGGTACACCAGTGATGACCCGAGACTGCTAACACCACAACATGCGGGAGCTCTGTTTTCTGCCATGCAACAAACTTGCTTGCATCCCTTCGTCGCTTCTAGCAATGGCTGAGATGCATCTTTTCTTCCAACGACCGTTATGCACGGAAAGCAGACCCAGCGACGCCAAGCAAGACCGTCCTAACTCCCTGTGGAATTCGTGGGTATGCTTTCAGATTACACTAAGGGTCCATGTACCCAAATAGTATATACTCCAGCCCCAAAGCGCCTATATAGGGACTACCTTAAAGGCCAAAGTATATACGATTTGGGTACATGGGCCTCAGGGATATGGGGGTTTTCGAAAATAGGGGACCCTAATATAGTACCCTAAATAGTAGGACCCTTATTATAAGGACCCCAAAACAAGGGTCCCCCTATTTTCGGAAACTCCCA